ATTTCCTATGCTCAGTCAAGTGAAATAGACAGTGAAATTTCCAAAGCCATGGATCGCGTCAAAACAGCAAGAAGACGGCAATTCTAAAGTTGTAAACAGTTTTCCAGAAGAAAAACCAAAAAAATAACTCTCCATAGTAATGAAAATCTTTGCCAGAGGCAAGAAAGCGCGCTCTAATCGAACTGTGCACAGAACAGATCTGCACAGTGCGCTTTTTCTAGCACTCGGTATCATGAGCTTCACTTTCAATTTTTTCTGCCTATGGAGCAAATTCTGATTGTCGATAGCGAAAAAAAGATAGAAAATACAAAAATCTGTGCTAAAAGGGAAATGTTTTTTGAAAGTACGTCGAATTCGTGCTGGGACCCTAAGTTGCGTTATTTCTTAAAATTTTCTGGCTATTTCTCTGCTTATTTTGAGCGATAATTTTCGCACCAAAAAGCAAATGTTTGACTTTTCAGGTGTAAAGTCTCCTTCTTAACCTAGCCAACCCAAAGGTGACATCGCTCAAGTCTGGTTGTTGACAAGGGGGTTTTTTTCGAATCTTCAAATCCCAAGTACAGGCTTATTGGCTGCTGCTAACGGGTTACGGGTTTAGCTGAGCATCCCCCCCCCCCCCTCCGTCACCGGCTACAAAGCTTGAAATTTGCAAACTACTCGAAATTGAGCAAGTGGATCTCAAATCTTAGCCACTCAACTCAAATGTGGCAATAAAATTGAGGGGATGACGTCATACGGAAATGTCTTGGAAAAAAATGAAAAGTTTAGATCAAACTCTATAGCAATGGGTTTAGTCAAACAATTTTTGAAGCACCTGTTGAGCAGTAGGCGTATTTACTCAGCATGGCATGGCAAAGCGATAAAAAGTGAAATTTGAGAAATCTCATGTTTTTAGACAGATTTTTGAGTTCAGCGGCAGAATTTCCATCTTTTAAGGATAAGATGTCTACCATCATCAAAATTATGCGCTCCATAGCAACCTGCAGAAAAACAACAAGCTTAAGAGATATAAGTGGATCTACATAGACTGCGTCTGGGGTCTGCGCCAAAAAATTACTGCTACAGGGAGGAAAGCGCGCTCCAATCGAACTGTGCACAGAAGCATATTGTGTGTACGCTGTAAAAAATTACTGCTACAGGGAGGAAAGCGCGCTCCAATCGAACTGTGACAGAAGCATATTGTGTGTACGCTATAAAAATTACTGCTACAGGGAGGAAAGCGCACTCCAATCGAACTGTGCACAGAAGCATATTGTGTGTACGCTGTAAAAAATTACTGCTACAGGGAGGAAAGCGCGCTCCAATCGAACTGTGCACAGAAGCATATTGTGTGTACGCTGTAAAAAATTACTGCTACAGGGAGGAAAGCGCGCTCCAATCGAACTGTGCACAGAAGCATATTGTGTGTACGCTGTAAAAAATTACTGCTACAGGGAGGAAAGCGCGCTCCAATCGAACTGTGCACAGAAGCATATTGTGTGTACGCTGTAAAAAATTACTGCTACAGGGAGGAAAGCGCGCTCTAATCGAACTGTGCACAAGTGCATATTGATTACAACTCGAAAATGGTGAACCTCATTAGGTTTGGGGAAAACTAGGACATTGATGGGTTTTCTTGAGTTTAACACATTACAATGGGTAAGTAGGTAAAGGGTAAGTAGGTAAACTCGATTCGTAACAGTTTTAACGGGAGAAACAGTAAAAGAGAATATGAAGGAACACATTGTAACGTCTCACCTCACCTACTTTCGTAGAAAAAAAGTTAAAGAGATTAACCGTCACAGCCCTAATTCGTCCGAAAATGAATGATGCAAGATGAGAAAAGGGAAGGAGAAAGGGACTAGATAAAAAAAGCAGAAAAATACTGTTGAAGGGAAATCTACTGAACGTATTTTTCATTTATAAAACCGCGAATATTTTTGAACGCTTTTCTGGCATATAACTTTCTTGCAACTAATGATATATTTGCGAAAATTTTGAAGCTATGCAATTGTGAAAAATTGTGAAAGCAATATTACATACTACTAGTGGACCAGTAATCTGAAGGTGCTATTTAGAAGAGCGTTCGCTTCGGGACCCGCCGCGGTTTCCCGCATTGGAAGATTTTTGAATTGAGCTAACGATATTTTATATATTAGATTACAATACAGCCGTCACTGGAATGCTTACAGTAGGATAAAACAAAAAACAGGCGTAAAAAATTCTGTAATTGCACTATAGGCAGATTCGTAGCGTACAATTTCGCTACGAGTAAGCCGCGTGAAAAAATTGGGGGTTCAATATCAAAAATTGTAAAACTGAAAAGCAACGGAGTTTACTTTGTCTTACAATTTTGTTTCTTAGGCAAAACTTTCTAATAATTTTTTGATGTCACAAGTTTTTAACCTTTTGAAAATTTCCGAAACAATTGCAAACGAAAACTTTGCATACAAAAATTGAATAACTATTAGTCAGGATTTCTAAAGGGTGTTGTTTAATTTTTTTCACTAATCAGGCAAATGATGGCTGAATTAGTATCGTCACCCCCCCCCCCCCCGTTTAGAAATATCTTTGAGGATGAGAGAAGGAAGAGGAGCTAATCTGCATGAATAATGAGAACTATAGCATAATGAGTTGTGCATGACTGCCAATGGCAGAAGCAAGACGAGTGTTCTCCCCCCCCCCTCTCGCCCTTTCCAAACTAGCTTCGCTGTCGATGCCGCCCGCTATCATCACCTCCTATTCCAATCAGTCATTCGATGATGAAGCGCATAAACACACCTTTACTGGCCCCGTTCTTACAGCCAAAGCACTGGAACACACGACACGCTGCAATGTTGCAATTTTTGCAGGTAGTAGAAGCAAAACTCAGGCACATACAAGTCGGTTTCTTGTTAATGAGTGCCATTACACATAATGCGCATATTGCGCGTCAAATCCTGGATCACGCTGACTATGAACGCTTTTTCAAGAAGTTAGAATTTTCACGCATTTTTCTTGACTTTTCTTTTTCCAGGCATCAATAAAAACATCCAATTAGGACCTTCCACAGCTTTACAAAAACAAATAAGTAGGTACGTGAGTAAAGGTAGATTTCTGAATAAAAATTAGTAATAATTAGTAATTTTGAGGAAATAAGTAATTTCAAAATATCCTCACTTTTTTCAAAACCATTCTCAAACGAAAAAATCTATGCAAAACGACATCACTCAATGAATTCGCCATAAGACGCATAATATGTGCAGTGTGTGCAATTGCGCATCAGGAGTTTTGAGTCGCTTAAGCGTGGAGAAGGTGGCACGAAATATTGCAATATCTGCAGGTGAAAGAGACAAAATTAGGGTACCAGGTGCCATTGCACACAATGCACACTTTGTGCGTCAAATCCTGGACCTCAATTACTATGAACGCTTTTTTCTGATTTAGTTTTTTTAGGGCATCAAGGGAAAAATTAGCTAGGATTTCTAATTGAAACTATGCAAATTGGAATAAATCAATGAATTCAAGATAAGACGCGTAATGTGTGCCTTTGTGTGCAATCGTACAAATTAGTAAAGTTGAGTCAAGCGTGACTTCTTCAAGACGAAGAGGCGAGGATGAAAAGGTGCGAAGGTCAACTTGCCAAGCCATCATTGGACTCGTAATTAGAATTTGAGCCAAGGACGCTTATACTGACGCGCTCGGCGCTCCGAAATGAGAAGTAAGCGCATTTTTCGAGGTCATAGGAGGCTCTATGAGTATCGCAAGGGAATCTTAGCAGCGTATAGAGGGAAGATTGTCGTATAGAAGTGAGACTCTAAGAAGATCGATGTGATTTGAGACACCTTTGTATGGGAACTGAGTTTTTTGGCAACGCGCTTTAGGCTGAGAACTAGATGTGCTAAGCTCGGCGCTACGCTCGGTTGTGGTGTGTGTGCAAAGACTGGCACTCCGTTTTAGTCTAAGGTCGATTTTTTTGTGAAAAAATCACTTAACGAGACTATACTTTTCTTTTGCAGACAAACGGGAGCAGTGGCGGTTTAGAGTGCATGTGGAATTTTGCATGTGCGCGTAAAGATGCGTCAAAGTAAAAGCCCAAAAAACAATGCATAGGTGGTTATTGATTTCTGCCTTAGAGTAGGTGGATCGCGTTGCATCCGCGCCGCACACGCTTCTTCATAACTTGGTTTTTTTAGTGTTATTTTGAACTTAGTAGTTGAGCAATAGATTGCTTGATAAGAAATTTATATGACACAATAAAGCCCTTTTGTATCAAATCTTCTGTGACATAGAGTTTTATCAGGTAAGTTTAAAAAATAATGAAATACAGCAGCTTTTCAGCAGTGATAATTTTTGCATAGCCAATGCTTAAGTCCCCTACCCATTTCAAAGCGCATGCCCCAAAGCTACCTCTGATTGGTCAGCGCGAGCCATGTATGGCCAAGCTACGATAAGGTCGGCGCAAGAGCAAAGAGCACGCATTATAGTGAGTAAAACTCAATGTTGCTGAATTGGTTTTTTTTTTCTCCTTCAAATCCAGAAAAAATGAGCATTTTGACCGCGATTTGGAATGTGTGAGATATTTTCAAGCAATTCCTCTTCAAATAAAAAGAGATTAATTTGGAATTGAAGTTTTCTCCTATAGCCGAGAGAAGAACTTTGAAAGTAATGCCAACTAGTTATAGCGCAGCACGCAAGCAATGGGCTATTAAAATTCATGAAAAAACGTAGTGGCGCATATTGTACGAGAATCGAAGATTGGCGATGAATGGGATGTTCTTGCTAGTGTTTTTTGGTGCAGAAAAAATAATGGGATTACTGGTCCAGACTATCGAAAGAATGAATGGAAACAACAAAGATGAAGTCAATTTACTCATTGTTCTATTAGTTTGCAAATCAAGTTCTTAGAGTTTTCTAGTCCCTATGCAAGATTTCGTACTAAAGGTTGGTATTTGCTAGTATTATTACCGAATCAGAGAAATTTAAACTTGCAAAGTCATAAAAAACATGATTTATTAATTAAGAGCTCATCTAACCGTTTGTCATAACAAAATCTCTGATTGGTCAGCACGAACTGTGATTGGCTGAGCTATACGAGGGCGGAGCAAGAGTGGCGAACCAAACTGTACCTATAAGATCAATAAAAAAAGGGTCCTTTGCTGGTCTAAGCCTATATAACTGCAGTTGAATCAATTCTACAACTATCGTCGACAAAATTCTATTGAAGCAATAGCAAAATCTTACTGATTTTTTCGAATTTAGAAAAATTAGATTTACACATAAAAGTTTTCTGTCCTGTAATATTTGAAAAAAATTTTTGCTGTCGAAAGGTATGGATAGGAGCAGCGAACTGGATTTTAAAAGTCCCGAAAAAAAGCACTTCAAAGTTCAAATCTATATAAAAATTAATGAAAAATGGTCCCGATAAAAAAAATAAAAACGAAGCATAGAGAAAAAATGTCCGAGCAACAAAGCCCACAGCGAGGAAGGAGAATCGCCCCACACAAAGTCGTCCGTCCGATGTCCGTTCCGTCATTTGATCCCTTATTTTGCATAGCGACCAGAGCGCACGGCAGTCCGGCGAGCGCGCTCTCGGCCTTCTCGGATTTTATTTCAACCGCGCGCTCCTCGTGTGTCCGAGATATATGGCTCACATAAACCCCAAGGCAAATGGACACTTTGATAGTGAAGGCAGTGTCTGGGTACATGGACTTTTCACGTGGATACCAATGGACCAATCAGCGTCCTTGATTACGGTAGATTACGGTGGAATACGGTATTGGGCGAGAGTTTAAACTTGAATTTCTCAGTCATGAATAAACTATACAAACTCCCACTTGGGCACTGATTCGGTTAAGGCCCCCCAATCAGTATCCACATAAGAGAACCCAGGTATCCAGACTTACCCAAAACCCTACAAAGTCCTGAAAAACTCACATGCAAATCGGGCATTTCACAGCGTTGCTCGTCCAATCGTTGACTTTGCATTTTCTCCAACAACGTCAAGAAGTCATTGCTCTGAACAAAAAAGTTTAAAATTCCAATCAAAGACATCAAAACAGCCTAGCCGCCGGTGGTAACGGCAGTGTAACCCCGTAGATTGTTGTGCAGCTGTGCCGTGCCAGATACAGCAAGGTAAACAAGCTCTGGGACATATTTCAAGGATTTTGCGAAGTTTTTTGGGGTTGCGAGGGTCTTATAACGGCTTCTTGAAATTTTAAAAATATTAAGTCCCAATCGTTTCCTAACATTAAGTATCTAATCTTATTTAAAAATTCAGAAAATCAAGCTTGAATTAAAATTTCGTAGAATTGTAAATAAGGTGATCTGATTGATTCTAAGAATTATGCTGCAGACGGTGAACGAACTTTTTAGCCGCGCGACGCTGATTGGCCAGCGCATCGTGCGAATGGCCGAAGCATGGAGGGCGGGGCATCGGCTGAGAACTGTACAAGATGTAGGCGCTCATGCTTACTCACTTCTGTACACTTTCATTCGATACTTCAATTAGTTTTACACTTACATTTTTGTCTTAGGTTGATATACATTTACTTTTTTTCTATGTTCAAGAACATATGACTTTTATAATAAAAAATGATTCGCCTAACTCAAGGCCCACTTCATTCAGCGAATACTGAGTAACGCTACAAATTTGGTGAATTTGTAATAGTTTGCCGTCCGAATTGTGTTCGAATTCTAAGCCTTGAGTCAATGTTCGCCTAATATGATGTGGCAAATAATATTTTTTCGTGCTATGATCGCCAGTCAGTGCATACCGTATGAAAAATTAAATTTTCGTTGCAGGACCTACGCGTTTTCGCAAACATGGACGAGTTGGCCTTTGCTCTCTGTACCTCTGTCATTATTTTTGATTCAAAAAGCAAGGAAGGCATACATAATATAAAGATGTGGTAATAACAGGGACGCACCGCCAAAGAACGGACTCCGCCTGCCCTCTGGCACAGCCTGCACAAAGTGGGTCCCGCAGCGGATAACGCCGCACTACGACCTACAACCTGCGTAAGTACCTACAGCAGGTCGTGCTTTTTACGGTACCATGCGTGACTTGTCTTAACACGTTACACACAAGACAAATCTTATCGTTAGATAAAAGCCGTTGCAGGGCGTGTCGCGCGGGAAGGTCCTGCACGGAAATCGCTGTTACGGTTGTGCGAACGGCTTATACCCACTATTGCTTTGCGCGCAAATAAAATGTCTGTCTACTTTGAGTCTGTGTGCTTCTGTCTCTTCTACAGCTACAAACGCTGCAAAATCTAATATAAGCATTTTGGATTTTTTCCTCAAACGCGATTGCCTCAGTGCAGCTATTCTTCCGCCGTTTACACATCTGCGACACATGCTCTTCATCTCTTTACTTTAAGAAACCGTAAAGGAGTAGGAATTTCCGAGAAAGCTCGTAAATCATGCGCAGCTAGTGTAAACTGCGTACAAAGCCGCTTGCACGGAGTTATGTTTTTCCATGACAATAAAGCAGTTTAGAACTTCGCAACGTTGTAATGTTTCTTCTTCCCGTTCACTAATATGCTTAGATTCTTGACTTTCGCAAAACGCAGGAACGTATATATGCAACAGTCCTTGCTTCCTCGTTTAGAATATTTATCCTTGATGTAACAGGAAATTTTTGATATGATTTGACACAGGCAAAAAAAACTTTCGAGATCTTTTGTCCGATCAAGGGACGACAAATACTAATTTTAGAAATTTTAAATGCTTTTCAAAATTTTGTTAGTGTCGAAATCAAGAAAAAAGTGCAAAGTTATTTTATAGAGCTAATTTGAATATTTTTGAATTATAACAACTGTTTACCAGTAGAAACAAGTCAATTGTCGTTCAAACAATTTGTTGGCCACTTTCAAAAAAATTCAAAATTTTCCAGGAATATTTTTATTTCCCCCCCCCCCCCCCCGACACCAAATCCTGAGAATTTTTTTTGCGCAAACAAATGATACTTTAAGTTTTTCCGTCTAAATCATGAAGGTACGATTCAAGAATTTCTTCCAAAATTTCTTCTGATATGTTTATGTTGAGGTTTTTTACATTCCATAAACCTGACGACTCCATATCGTCGCTCAGAATTTTTTCAAATTTGAGATTTATTCACTAAAAATGATGAAAATGATCTGCTTTTATGAGCATATTTCAGTGACGATTGAGCGTAATTGTAGGACACCGCTTTTTGAGCGAAATAATTGCGAAAAAAGTTGATTCGGACAGTTTTCGGCCAATGAAACTAATAACTTTATCTTCTTTATAAAAATTAAATTTATTCTCTTTTTTTCAAGAAACGGAATGACGTCTTTTTAATTCCAATTTTGCCCACAGTTTCGTAATTCTGACCACTGTCACAAACTGCACATTCTTATGCGCCATGAGTGTATGAAATACAAAAAATAAATAAATAAATGTAAAAATTATATATACCAACCTTGTCTGGAGTTGAGCTATATGGCACAGATGTGGTAAATAGTCCGCTTCCACGCATTTTTTCGTTTTCGATGTAGAAATCACTATTCATCGAATTTCTTCTGAAATAATAGAGTAATTAGACAGATGGTGCGAAGGGGTCTTGCAATGAAAAGTAAATGAATTCGAGACTGGAAGGCAAGAATTAGTGCTGATGAAATCAATTATGGAAATGTGCCAAAAGTGCATGACTGCGCTTCGTGCAAGGTGCAAAGAGATATTTATGTCATTATTGCGTGCAAATGCTGTTCGTGCTTTACAAAATTTTTGGAAATTTCCAGTTTCAAGGTGACAATATTAGAAAAGAAAGAATGCTGCAATGTTCGAAGGAAAGACGTATCGCGGCGGGTGTTTCTGTCGCGACGTAATTATTATCAATAATTTTACTATTTCTTGAAATTTTATTTGGCAGCTATTTTTTGTCGATTTTTTCATTCAGTTTAGCAACAGATCGTCGCAGTATGTATTAATCTGTTTCGAGATGATTATTATTCTACTATCATTTTTCAAATTTTTTGACAACTAAAATATTTATTATTTTTTTTTCATTTCATTCAGCAGCAAAATTGTCGCAATATGTGATTTTTAAAATGGATTTTTTCAGAACAACAAATTACTTGCTGGATTGCTAATAGAAATTAGTGATGTGATGAAAAAAAATTTCAAAACTCTGAAAAAACAGCACGATAAAATCATGTGAGGGTATGCAGCAGCAAAAATTTTTGAATCGATTCATAAGGGACAAGATTTCCATGTTTTTTTAAAGGTTTAGAGTCAAAAAAAAAAGAAACTTAGAGAAAATCGATTGATTTTGAGGACGTAGAAAAGAATTTTAAAAAAGAACTTTCTTGAAACGCTTGAAGATAAGGATGAAAAAATAACTATTTGAGAAATGGGAGGATAATTCAAAGGAGGAATCGAATAATATCTGTGATCCCTAAAATTAGAGCTATTGTGAGTATTCTAGCATTATTTTTGCAATTTTGAAAATGGTACGGTATATTATGTAGATTATGATTGAGAAATAGAGGAATGAAACTTTTTAACCAACTTTTTTCAGCGGGAGAAAGAGGATAATGATCAAAATTGAGCGCTATGTATGCGGACCACAAAAATTTCCAATTCAATAGTTTCAGCCCCGTTTTACAGTAAAATATTCAAAAAGATGCTGCTCACACCTCGGCGATGTGTCCATACGGTGTGAAAAATCACAAACGGCCTTGATAGTTGAAACGGCACCCTACGGAACGTATCCGTGAGAGTTCTCATCATAATGACACACTTAAGTCCACTTTACAATCTCTTGAGAATAACATTTGAGAACACGCTCTTGAGCCATGAAGCACTCCGATAAGGACAGCTTCTTTTTTTTGCGCAAAAAGTGAGACGGAACCTATTGCACGAAATTCTACTTACATGTACCAGTAGTAAATATAAGGCGCTAGTTTGAGTTTGCATAGAAGGAACTTTTTTTGAACATTTTTTGCTCGAGATTTTAACAAAAACATAATTTTTTGGTTTTACTTATACAATTCATCATAAATGGCCTCAAGTAAAGCAGAAAATTTTCATAGGCTTTAGATCAGTCAGAAAATCAGTCAGTTCAGTCAATATAGGTGGTGAGCTAAAAATTTGCTCCTCCTTTCTTCAAAATATCAAAAAAAAAGATAAAAGCTAATCAGATTCTGAAAAATTCTGTTTTCTACTGTAAACTACTACTTGGTAAAAATGCAAATAATAGGAAGAAAAACATATTTTACCCCACCCCCCCCCCCTTCTCGATCAATGTATTGCGAAATTTTGGTATCTACATAAGTCATGGAATTAAGAATTAGCTGTTTCACTTTTGTTCATGAATATAAAAAATCATAAATTTCGTTATTAATTTAGCTTCAAAAGAGTTTTTCGTGTTTCCCGAAATTTCCTGTTTCTCTTCGCTACCATAAGCATGCCGGAAATAAACAAGGATGGTTCTTTGGACGTTTCTTTCGTTTCTTTTGACATTTTCTCGATTATTCCTGGCTAGTGCTGCTCACTTTACTTGAGAGATAAGTTCGTGTTGTCTACTCTTTCCCCCCCCCCCCCCCCGGTAGAAAAGTCTTCTCTCCAAACTATCGCTGGCCGATATTTTTTCAGCTTTTTGTAGTGCGCTGTTTAAGACTTTGAATTTTTGCTTATATAGAAAAATCATCTTTTCTGCAGTTTTTATGCTCATTTATAACAAATAAAATTTAAAAAAAAGAATATATAAATAATTAAATTAATAAAGAGCCAAGATGGCTTCAAAGTCTTCTGAATCAAGATGGTGAATTTATTTTGTTTATACGTAATAGCTTTAGAAACTAAATAAAAATTAGACGATCCTAATGAAAAAAGTTTTGGAGGCCTTAGAATCCAAATTTATTGGGGGAATTTTCGTAGCGGTCATAGCTGATTTTTATCAGTTACTAACATAATCAATTATGCATTAAAAAAACTGGCAAAGCAGAGCAAAAGCTCCGACAAACAAAGGCTGTCGTGCCGCTGACGAGAGAGGATGAATGAAAAGCTGGGATGACGGAGCGAATCCCGCGGATTCCCGGTTGCTCTTCGAGCGAATCGCTCTTAATTGCTTGAAGCATCCGAGCACGAGATCGAAGCCGAGCAGTGCTTGAGAGAACTCGCGTAATGCAACATTTTTGCGTGAGCGCGAAGGTTAAAAGCGTATTACTCGAGCTTTGAACACGTTTCCTCGCTTGAACACGCGGGAAGTTTTTCTTGAGCTCTAGCGGCGACGATCATAAGCCATTTGCTTGTGAATGAGGTTTAGGTTGAAGATGGTTAACCGCTGTGCGGCAAGGGTAACTGGGTCAACACAGGTAGCATAACCGCACTTCAACCTGAGAAAAACATGAGACGATGGTGATGGTAGCGTTGGTGATGCTGGTGATGCAGGTAGTGTTGGTGGCGTTGATGGTGTTGGTAATGCTGGTGATGGTGTTGGTGCATGTAGTGGGTGATGCTGATGGTGCAAGTAGTGGGTGACGCTGATGGTGCAGGTAATGTTGGCGGCGCTAGTTTTGGTAGTGTTGATGATGCTGATGGTGTAGTTAGTGTTGGTTACGTTGATGGTGTTGGTGGTGTGTGATGCTGGTGGTGCAGGTGATTTGATGGTGTTCGTATGTTAGTGGCGTTGGTGCGTTGGCGGTGTGGTCACGTGGGTGGATGGTGTTGGTGGCGTCAATGGTGTTGGTTTTGCTACTGATGCTGGTGACGCTGGTGGTGTTGGCGATGTTAGTGATGCCGGTAGTGTAGTTGAGAACTCGGGTAATACATCCAATTACCCAAGCTTTGAACAACTTTCCCCGCTCAAGCACGCGGCAAGTTTTTCTTGGGCTCCACTACGACGATTATATGCGCCAAGCAATTTGCTTGTGAATAAGGCTCAGGTTCAATGCTGTTAACCGCGCTGCGGTAAGGGTAACTGGGTCAACCACTTCAAAGGTAGCACAAACGGCTCCAGTTGACTGCTATACTCCTGACGCAAATTGTCATCATCGTTTTGACTCTGAGGTCACTCGCACACGCATACCTCAGCCACGATATGGCGTCAACCTAATCTGCCAAGGTCGTGAGAAATTCTCAACAATTTGTCGCTTGGTGTGCTTTTTATTTATAGGAGGTAGAAGAACACGAAAGGTGGTAAGGGAAGGTAAAGATATTGGAATATATTTCGAACAATTTGTTTGCCCTCAATTTCAAATAAAATGCTATTCATGAATCATTACGACATTGTAAGTCTCAAAAATTCCAGAAATAAACTTCAAAACTTATATCATCTACTGTGTGAGATGATGACAAATATTTCGGAAAACGAAAGGCTTTGTTTAGGCTCCGAACTCTTACCATCTTTTTTTCCTGCGCAAAAAAACCGTAATAAAGGAAAGGGATGATGTGCATATAGGTAAAGTGAAGCAACGAGTCTCCTAAAGTCGATTTTTTTTCATCCACCCAGACTAACCGAAATGATGTGTGATCCCAAGAAGTGCTGTTTACGTTCTTTGTCAAAAGAGACCAATTCAAATCTGGATGGCTGGAATAGGTTTCCAGGGACTAATTCTTTGTTGTTCTTAAATGGCAGTGATAGTTTAAGGATCAAAAAAACCTACTCTTTGCCGGAAAACGAAAAAAGGAAAAAAAATTGTAAAATTAAGTTGCTTGTAACTGTCCTTTATTGGCAGTGTAGTTGTAACGACTAGTTTTCAATGCAAAAAGCTACCTCCTGAAAACGAAAAAACTGGAAAAAATCGTGGCAGGTAACCTATAGATGTACACATTTATTTCAGATACTAATTTTCTGTCTTTTGGTGATGAGAAAATTCTAATGATGACTGAGCTTATAATTAATTTTCACAAAACTGAAGTCACCATAGTATTTTTGTTCGAAATTTGAGTATTTCTCAGTTACTAAATATCGGATTGATTTTTTCAGAATTTCTATTGACATTTTTTGCTGCTGTGGTAAAAATATTTTTCTGTTTATTTAGGCTACTCAAATTGTTTCTGAACTTCCCTCACAACGCCAGGAACTGCAGCCCCTGATTACAAGTCAGCGCATCATCACATCCTCGCTAAGAAGCGTCAAAGACGGAAGATGTTTACACATTGACGAATGCCGATAGGAAAGCCAATCCGAATAGCAAACGTCAGTATAAGAAGCCACTTAGTTCAATGGAACGAGGTTATCAGATGGGTCTAAGAACGGAGGGGATTAGCCGGCCAACCGACTGGCACTCTCTCCCGCGAGAAGAGAAGATTATAGGGAAGGGAAGGGAAGTGGGAAAGAGATGTGAAGGTGCGTCAATGGGATGGATGTACTGTAGATCTTTATAACAATAATAGGGTGAAGAAATAATCAACGAAGTAAAAAAATGATCAAATAAATTCAAGTTTCACAAGATTTTCAGGTATGTTTATAGAATTAATTTTATGTTTATAAAATTATAGAATACACTACAAACTGAACGGAAATTGTAAACGATTTTTGCTGCAGCACCACATCACCACCACAAGCACCACCATC